ACTTTTAATCTCACCTCATCCATAAATTGCATTTGATATGAGAATTGATCATGTGCATCTCAGTGTATCTTATTACTGTTTTTTTAAGTATATAATATTTATATACGGCAAATGTAACAAATAAACTCACACACCCTCCTCACCTATGGTGAGGTTTGAACCCTTGACCTCTAGGAGGCCAAGGGCTACGATACCGCTAGGCCAAAGACCTTTTGGTGTATCTTATTACTGTTGATTTTCACTTAGGAGTGATGTAAGGATTGAAATCTCTTCTTATCCTTCTCAATTCTCAATTATAACTTTCATTTTTACTAAAACTCGACACTATATTTATATATACAAAAGCAGGTTTAAATAAAAATAAATTGTATTTTTTTTTTCATATCTATACTACCTTATAAACCAGACTATATTTATATATACAAAAGCAGGTTTAAATAAAAATAAATTGTATTTTTTTTTTCATATCTATACTACCTTATAAACCAGATTTATCAAAAATCTTAAAAACAATTTTTAATACACAAAGTACTATAAATTTATGCACAAAGTCTTAAAAGTCTTAAAAAAATCATAATACATTAAGTACTACTACTTTATGCATTCAGTCTTAAAATCTTTTAATCTACAATTAAAATAGCATATAGTAAAAATTATCAATACACATTATTACATTTTCTTTTCATGTTCCCAAGATACTATGACACATTTCACTCATGCCTTAACCCTCTCATACCTCTATGACTTCTCCTCATTCACCAATGTGAGATTCAAATTGATATTCACCATGAGTTATTAAAAGTTTTTCTATTCATCTTCCATTCAATTGCTCTAGAATTCTCGGTCTCACCCTCGATCTCTTGATTCTTTGCTCTTTGTGTAAATCGAACACATTTGTGGAATCGTTTAAATATGTTGGATTTTAAATATATTGAATTTTAAACTGTCATACAATTCTTTTCATCGGTAGACTGTAATTTGAACCATAACTCTTATTTATTCAAATTGTATTAATATGTAAATATCAAGTGTAACTTATATCATCGTTATATATTCTCTAATAAAACCAGTGAAACTTCCAAATCGTTAAAACTCACAGCTCCCGCTGCATTACGTGGATACACAATTAGTTTATTAAAAATTGTATATTAGTTTCGTTATTTGGAAATTGAGAAAAGGACAAGGGGTTGACATACGTAGGCAAGTGTAATAACAGACAACAAACAAATAAACGTGGAGAATAAACGTACTCCATTGAATTCAATTTTGCTTGTACTCTCTGCAACTTTACTTGTACACAATACGGTTACGTGTGCCGCAAACTATTTACTACTTCTTTAATATTATAATACTACTAACTTCCTCTTATTCCTTATTAATTATTTTCAGAATAATATTATTTAATTATAAAAATTAATCAATTAAAAGGGTTCAATTATTTTTTTATATGGTAAATTATACATTGCACGCCAAGAAATCTTAAAAAGAGGGTCGTATTGTGTATTTGTATGTAAGATTAATTGTTGGTGATTTTACTGCCATTAATTATTATTATTATTATTGTAATTACGATTTCTTTGAAATTGATTAAAGTGACTAGTTGTGTATTTGCGCAATGCGGTGAGAGCCGTGAATTTTAACGATTTTAAAGTTTCACTGATTTTATTAGTATAAATTTAACGATGATATAAGTTACACTTGGTCTTTATATATTAATTCAATTTGAATAAATAAAAGTTATGGTTCTAATTACAGCCTATCGATGGAAATAATTATATGACAGTTTAAAAAATCCAATATATTTAAAATTCAACATATTTAAACGACTCCACAAATGTGTTCGATTTACACCAAGAGCAAAGAATCAAGAAATCGAGAGCGAAACGAGAGTTCTAGAGCAAGTGAATGAGAGAACTTTTAATAACTCATGGTAAATATCAGTTTGCATCTCACCTTGGGGGATGAGAATAAGACATAGAGGTATGAGAGGGTGAAGACATGAGTAAAATGTGTCAAAAGTATCTTGGGAACATGAAAAGAAAAAGCAATAATGTGCATTGATAACTTGTACTATATGTTATTTTAATTGTAAATTAAAAGATTTTAAGACTGAATGTATAAAGTAGTAGTACTTAATGCATTATAATTGTTTTTAAGACTTTGTCTATAAATGTATAGTACTTTGTGCATTAAAATTGTTTTTAAGATTTTTGATAAATTTGGTTTATAAAATAGTATTGATAAGACAAACAAAATAAATTAGAAGGTGTAGAATGCATGCTTACAAATGTTTGTATCTATCATCTTAGATCACCGAAAGGTGGGGGTAAGGGGGTCACACCCCCTTGTAGGGTCCTAAGACCATCCACACACATCTTTCAAAGCAATTGCAAAAGCAATTGCAAAAAAACAATTGCATGCCACGTAGGATTTCACTTGCAAATTTTGAAAGTGTAAATGCAAGCCACGTGGACATCTATAACATTGAATAACATTGAAATATAATATGTAGAACAATTAATTTTATAAATTAATAATGTTAATGTATTTTTAATAATGTTAATGTATTTTTAATTACATTAATTATATAATACATTAAATTATTTTATATGTAATATTTTTAATTCAATAA